TACTGAAACTGCCGCCCAGCCTGCTCGTGTGCACCACGGCAGGCCTGGGTCGATGGCTGATCCATCCACGCAGATTATTCCTTCCAGAAATCCATGCCTAGGGAAAACATGCCACTGCCACTCCTGCTGCACGATCGGGCTGGGTGTGTAGCTAATTGGTGACGCCATCAGACCTCTAGTGTAAAACAAGCGCCATCTCGGTTCCGTGGCAGTGGACCCCGCGTGAACGAGACGCTGAAACCCTAGGGTCTGACGGTGCCCATGGAAAGCAGGGCAGACATAGCATCGATGCTTCTTACATCCCCACGAGTGCCCACAAACCTGACACTCAGCGGAGGCAGAGCGCCTGTCCAGAAAAGGTCAACCTGAGCAGCCATACCTCCCGACGCCACAGCGGCAAGGAGAGAGGCTTCCAGGCCCTTACCTGAGGCGCGGAAAACTTGGCACACCTCATGTAACGGCTCTAAGCAGGGGCGGAGGGGAGCGTCACTTCCTACAGCCTCATCACTAATGGTCAGGTCGCGAAGGAGCATGTCCTTCGTGCCAGCATCCACGATCGTTTTTACCGTCCGATTCCCGTACGCCTGCAGGTCCAGACAGAGCCCTCCTCCTCCTCCTCCTCCTCCCTCCCTCCCAATCCCTCCCATCCCGCCCTGAAATTCACCCTCACCGTCGCCCTCGCCTCCCTCCTCTCCCGTCCCTAGTCCCATAACGGACGGTAACACACAGCAGAATGGAAGGGTGACTTGTTGACAGATAATAATAAATGGACGGACATAACAGAGGGTCACGACACATTATCTAAGAAGACGAAGACACTAACAATCGCATGCGCTGCCACAGTCTGCGTAACATCACATAATAATACAGCACAGTACCTTACCAGTAACTGAATCATACTAAGAAAGTTCCTCCTGATTAATCAGACATCAATAATAAAGGATACAATAACATAAGAATAATAAGACGAGAATAATAACGGAAACTCCTAATACTATAATAAGAATCCTTTACGCCTTCCTGCTCACTCCCTCCTCCTCTCCTCCTCCTCCTCCTCCTCCTCCTCCTCCTCCTCCTCCTCCTCCTCCTCCTCCAGGCACCGCGTTGATCGTTCAACCCTGAACGATCGGCAGCTTTCCGATCGCTGGGTCACCCCATGTTGGCCGGTTCTGGGCAACTGGCGGCTCTCAGCCCTGAAGGCCCACGGCGGGGTCGTCGCCGCGTCGACACGGCACGAGCCTGCCGCACCTGGATGCGAACAGACCTCCTACCTCGGCTGCGCGACCCTTCCTGCACTGATGCACTGATGCAGACTCCATGTCTCCTCCTCCTCCTCTCCTCCTCCTCCTCCTCCTCCTCCTCCTCCTCCTCCTCCTCCTCCTCCCCCTCCTCCTTCTCCCGGTAACTCGCGCATACAAGGCTTGCTGACGTAGCCGAACAACGGCAAAGACATCGTCACATGAATGACAGTGCTCGTGCTTGACTTCGAGGAACGCTCCTGATGTTTCGGAACATGGCGCACGTAAACTGGTCCACAACGAATCATCAAACAAGACAGAGCATGTTGGGCAACAGAGAGCAGCTCGGATAGAATAGACATGGAGAGAAGCGCTGAAGTCTAAAGCCAAGTGTCGCAGTTTGGGCAAGCTGCGAGCACCACCTTGTAGTGCAACCATGATCGACTGGCTCCCTGCAGGCTTGTGAGATCCACTGTACCCCCCACCGAGCCCGTCGTCGTGCGGACCACCCCCTCTCTACGATTCGGCTGGGGCAGTACACGTCCACATGCTGTAAGTTGGCGTGCGGACGCCGCAAATCGGTGAACCAATGCCGCGTTGTTGAGCTGCAAGGTACACCACGTGCGCGAGGAAGAAGGAAAGCAGCAGCGGACGCAGAGAGCAGGCCCAAACCCTCACAACACGGCACGACCAGGCACGCCTTCACAGCGAGCCACGCTGCTGATAAGACCGCCCACAATGACGGAGATGGAAAGAGTCGCGGTGATTCCGCACTTGATCGAGCCCCACGGCAACTGGCTCGCAGAGGGAAAGGAGGAGGAATGGGGATGCAATTAGGGGGAAGATCGATCGGTCGCGATCGGATCCATGCTCCTCCCCCCATCCCCACCCCTATCCAGCCTTGACAGCTACCTGCCTGACCGTCGCGTCGGGGTCCGCGATGCAGCCGCTCACCTGTCGAGAGCCCTCGCCGTGGTCGCCGTCTTCACCGTCGTCGCCGCCGCCGCCGTCAGGGTGGTCGTCGTGATCGTCGTCGTCGTCTGGCCTCTGTCGTCTGTCGTTTGTCGTCTGTCGTCTGTAGTCTGTCGTCTGACGTCTGGCGTCTGTCGTCGTCGTCGTCCCCGTGCGGGGAACGTCGACAACCGCAGCGCCGCCTGGGGCTCTTCGTGGAGCCACAGTGTGCATTAAAATTCTCAAACAAGTACAATAATATTAATGTCTGCCCTACTCCTCGGAGAACTTCTTAAGACCCCTCCCCCTTCCCCCTCTATCAAGATCCCCCCCACCCCTCAGCAATAAGGCGAATGCCCGCACCGTACATCGTGTGGCCATGGACCAGTCCCATAGAAGGACGGAAGCGGCATGGAGGGGAAAAGGGGGCAGAAAACAAGAGTCATGAGGGGTATACCCCTGTGGGAATCCCCCGCATGAAGGGCAGCAAGCGTCGTAGACGATCGGCAGTCCAGTGTTCATGCCCTCCGTCAAGTGACTGGGCTTGGAAGCCGACCCCCTCTCCACCAGAGATGCGCTGCCGCTGCAAGATAAATAGCCTTCGAAGCAGCCCCAGCCAGCGGGGCAACTGTGGCCGCAGGCGACCGGCAACTCCTCGTTGATGCCTGGCGCACTGGTGGTGGAACACCAGAAGGGGTAGTCCTCGAAGCAGCCCACGCCTGAGAGGCAGCTGGGATCGTAGACAATCGGCTGCCTGTCCCTGGTGCCCAGAAACTCGCAACCACCGCACAAGCACTGCGGGCGCCAATGTCTGGCGGGAAACCCAATCCACATCGTGGGGCGGCACTGGGAAACACACCGCCACATGACCTGGGCACGCGGCTGGGGGATGAGAAAGCTGGGCTTGCCCGAATGAAATTTCCACACCTCGAAGCCACCTGGGGGGGGCAAATACGCAGGACGGAGGAGGGGGGAGGTGAGAGGAGGAGGAAGGAGAGGAGGAGGAGGAGGAGGAGGAGGAGGAGGAGGACGAGGAAGAGGAGAATGAGAAAAGGGGGAGGAGGAGGAGGAGGAGGAGGAGGAGGAGGAGGAGACCAGCGTACCCAGAGGAGGAGGAGGAGGAGGAGGAGAAGGAGGAGGAGGAGAAGGAGGGAGGCGGAGGAAAAGGAGGAGGAGGAGGAGGAGGAGGAGGAAGCGGAGGCGGAGGAGGACGGGGAGGAGGAACTGGGATTGCGGGGTTTGGAAGCTGCACGAGAGAAAACATGTTTTCCACCAGACGAACCACCAACATGATGCCTCCACCTGCGAGCACTACACACCACTGCAGCCACACTGCGCCGCAGCGTGAGACGGAGGAGCGGATGGAAGGCGTCGGGATTGCTCGACACCGCGCGCTGCTCCGACATGCTGACTCCAACTGAAAGCCACGGCACCAGGCGAGGCGGGGGGAGGAGGCGCGCGCACGGGCCCAGAAGAGGGGGGCGAGGAGGGAGCGAGGGTAGTTCAGCCGCCAACATTTCGGCTGACCCACACGCCGACGGCTTTAAAGCCTGGCCCCTGCCAGAAAAACAAAGCACTGGCCACAGAAGGAGGCGCAGAACGAGGGAGGAGAAGCCGAGAGACGCGCGCGACCCCACTCAGCGCAGCAAGAGGAGACAGAGAGAGAGAGAGACAAGAAAAAAGGAGGACGAGAGAGGAAAAGAAGGCAGGGAAGACAAACAAACAATGCTGTGACGGGTAATCATAGAAGGCGACTCCACCCGGCGGGCGCTGGAAGCACGCTGAGTAACAGGAGCCCGCGCAGCGGGAGTGCCCATCGCATGCAGGCGTACATCTACAAATGCACAGAACGAGGCCAGAGGAAGGCCAGGGGAACGGAGAGGGGAGCAGAATGAAGGTGAAGCAGCGACGCATCGCGCATCACCGAGGGAAACTCCAGACTGCCGCCAGCGGCCGACCTCAGAAGGCGAGGCCGATGGACGTGAACATGATGTCCCAGTGAGTGGCCCTACCACCACCCCATAAGGCGCACCCCATCCACCCAACGACCATCGTACTGCTCGCCGACGTGCTGTGCATAATGGTGTTGTTGGTACCCGTCGTGCTCGTCCCACTCGTGGTGCTGCTTTCGGTCGTACTGCTCGCCGACGTGCTGGGCGTAGTGGTGCTGCTGGTCTTGGTCGTGCTTGTCACACTCGTAGGGCTGCTCTCGGTCGCACTGCTCGCCGACATGCTGGGCGTAGTGGTGCTGCTCGTACTCGTCGTGCTCGTCACACTCGTAGCGCTGCTCTCGGTTGTCCTGCTCGCCGACGTGACGGGCGTAATGGTGTTGCTGGTGCCGGTCGTGCTCGTCCCACTCGTGGTGCTGCTTTCGGTCGAGCTGCTCACCGACGTGCCGGGTGTGGTGGTGCTGCTCGTACTCGTCGTGCTCGTCAAACTCGCGGTGCTGCCTTCGGTTGCACTGCTCGCTAACGTGTCGGGAGTAGTGGTGTTGCTGGTGCCGGTCGTGCTCGCCCCACTCGTGGTGCTGCTTTCGGTCGTACTGCTCGCCGACGTGTTGAGCGTAGTGGTGTCGCTGGTACTGGTCGTACTTGTCATACTCGTGGTGCTGCTTTCGGTCGTACTCTACGCGTGCTTGGCGTAGTGGTGCTGCCAGTACAAGTCGCGCTTGCCACCTTCGTGGGGTTGCTCTCGGTCGTACTGCTCGCCGCTGTGCTGGGCGTTGGCGCTGTTGGCACCGGTCGCGCTCGCCCCACCCGTGGCGCTGCTCTCGGTCGTACCTTTCGCCGACCTGCCGGGCGTAGTGGTGCTGCTGGTATCGGTCGCGCTCGTCACGTCCGTGGTGCCGCTCTCGGTGCACTGCTCGCCGACGCGCTGGGCTTGGTGGTCCTGCTGGCAGCGGTCGCGCTCGTCACGTTGGCGCTGATCTCGGTAGTACTGGTCGCCGACGTGCTGGGCGTAGCGGCGTCGCCAGTGCCGGTCGTGCTCATCATACTCGCGGGTGGTGGGCGTGGTGGTGCTGGTCGCCGACGTGCTGGGCGTGGTGGTGCTGCTGGTACCGGCCGCGCTCGCCACACTCGTGGTGCTGATTTCAGTCGCACTGCTCGCCGATGTGCTGGGCGTCGTGGTCCTGCCGGCACCAGTCGCGTTCGTCACATCTGTGGTAATGCTCTCGGTCGTACTGCTCGCCGACATGCTAGGCGCAGTGGCGCTGCTGGTATCGGTCGCGCTCGCCACACCCGTGGAGCTGCTTTTGGTCGCACTGCTCGCCGACGTGCTGGGCGTAGTGGTGCTGCTTGTAGAGGCCGCGCTCGTCACACTGGTGGTGCTGCTCTTGGGCGCATTGCTCGCCGACGTGCTGGGCGTAGAGCCGCCGGTGCCAGTCTCACTCGTCCTACACGCGGTGCTGCTCTCAGGACTCTCCGGTGTGCTGGGCGTAATGGTGCTGCTGGTGCCAGTCGCGCTCGCCCCACTTGTGGTGCCGTTCACCGTTGCACTGCTCGCCGTCGTGCTGGGCGTAGTGGTGCCGCTGGTATCCGTCGTACTCGTCATACTCATGGTGCTGCCCTCGGTCGTATTACTAAATTATGCCGGGCGTTGTTGTGCCGCTGATAGCGGTCGCACTCGTCGTACTCGCGGTGCTGCTCTCGGTCGTACTGCTCGCCGACAAGCTAGACAGTGGTGCCGCTGGTTCCTGTCGTACTCGCCATGCTCGCGGCGCTGCCTTCGGTCGTACTCCTCGCCGACGTGCTGGGCGCAGTGGTGCCGCTAGTACCCGCCGCACTCGTCGTACTCGTTTCGCTGCTCTCGGTCGCACTACTCTCCGACGTGCTGGGCGCAGTGGCGTTGCCAGATGCACGAGAGAAAACATGGCGGCAATAAGATGTTGATTGCAGTGCTTTATTATCCGTGCAGCGCGCAAGTATGCACTGGCGCCTGGGCCAAATAGCGCTGGAACCTCCTATCCGAGTCGGGATTATGCTCGCGATCGAACATTTCTGGCAGAGAAAGAAGACATAAAAAAGAAGGAACCAGAACTGTCCAACCCCACGCGCATTTTAGACTCAACAGGGAGACCCCGTCGCTGTCTGACCCGGGGGCGCGCGAGGCGCCAGGACGCGGGCTCACCCTCTGTCACGGGCAGCTCGCTCGTGCTCTCAGACAGCGGGTAGCGGGTAGCTGTAGCTAGCGGGTAGCTGTAGCCGCATCTGCGCATGATGTTAGTGACCTGGCGCCCTGCGGGCACTCAGCACGGACGCGGCACTCGCACCCACAATTTGCTACGTCGTTGCAGCCCCGTCGTAGCCTCGCGAATTGCGTCGTCTGCCTTTCCCTTTGCACGGCGAGCACTCGCCTTTACCCCGTCTTGTCCACTGAGAAGACCTGACCGACTCTGACGTCTGAGAGCCCCATGAGACATTCGTGGTCCTGAGAACCTTTGCCCGCTGCCTTTGCCCGTTCTGAAAAGCGTCGCTGCCCCTCTTGCTCAACTTACGCACCGGGCGAGTAAGACGCTGCACGCGGGCGCGCCACAATCTATTAGCAGCACTCATCTGCCAGAACCACTGGGCATCTGTCTGGGCAGGGCTGAGGCCATGGAGCTCTGGCACCCGGTAGTTGGCCTCTCCGCCTGGGCCCGCGCTCGAGTCTGAGGAGGCCCCGCCGTCGCAGCCGGCCCCGTCCGCGGGCACACACACACACACACACACACACACACACAAACACACACACACACACACACACACGGCGGCAAGATAGGCCGCCTGCGGCGACGCGGCGCTCTGCGACGGGCCGGCAGCGCACACCACGGCACCTCCTGCACCGGGAATCTCGGCGGCGCTGGCAGACCAAGGGTCGAAGCCCTGTTTGCGCCAGGAGCCGCGATGCACGCGCGTCGCTGCCGCTTTCCACCACCCTCGCGCGCCGCTCAGTTGTCGCCCGCGGCCGCCCGCGGTCGGATTCTTCATGTGGGTTCACGCCTTGAACGCGCGCTGCATTCGCGCTGCGCGCACCTGCACTTCGTTCTGCCGCGTTCGCCGCTTGCCCGGCGGCAGCGCCCGTCTCGCCTGCGCCTGTCTCGCGCCGCCCTTGCTCGCTGGTCTGGCAGCTTCACATGGCATTTTCCACTGGCTCATGCACACCAGTGCGCTGTCGGCGCTTCCACTCCTGGCGTCGAGCTTCGATCCGCGGGATGCCGGACCGCGGCTTCCGACTAGCTAATTAGCACCAGACTGCTGCCCGCCCGTCAACTCCTGGCGTCGAGAGGGATGCTTGGCCGCTGCAAGTTGGCTTTACAGTGCCTCATTGCTTCACCTGCACCACCATTATGCACGTCCGTGCCTGGATTATTTCATCACAACGCGCCCCGCGGAGTTCGTTCGGAAGTGGCACTCCCACCTGCCGACCGCACCTGACGTTCCCCTGCACCACCGACTGAAGCAGCGCGCCCTTGCTGCTCTCTTTGGCCATGCACACGAGACCTCCGAAAGATAGTGGCGGTGCACGAAGAGCGCCGGCGACGTGGTTTGGCGCGCGCACCACGATACAACCCGCGCGCCCGGGCAAGGTCGCGAGACTTGTTAACTCGGCCTCAGTGGCTGGGCCTCGGCTGAGCACTATGGGTTGGCTAGCTGCGACGCCGATCGCTCGGAGCAGTAACCAGCTGCCGTCCCCCGCGACATCGCAGCTCCACCGTCGCGCGCAGCTCGGCATCGCAACGTAAGAAACCGCAAGAGCAGCGCGCCAGCAGTTTCGTTGCGTCGCCTTGGAAATTCTGAGATCCCGAGGGTAGCCTGGGGGCGCGATTCCTCGTCTAGTGGACCAAACTGTGTGGCGAAGTTCGCGACAAGGTAGGTCATGGCATCCTCTTGCTGGCCGTTGACCATGCCTCCCTCCGCCATCTCCGCGAAGCTCATGGAGCGCGTGAGCTCGCCAGCGGCCCCACAGAGGTTGAGGACGACGGCAGCGCAGTGTTGGGCGCTGTCCATGTTGGTGGCTAGCACGCTCCAAGCGAGCAAACTTCGTATACAGTGACGGAAGGGATACATGGACTCGCGCACGGGTGGCCATGAGGGCGGCTGGCGGGAAGTGATCGCACCGCGGCCGCCGCCGCCCTGTGGGCTTGCTCCACCAGACAGCATGGCGGTGAGCCAGAACAGGACGGCCACGAAGAACACGACGATGCTGCCCCAGAACGTCAACATGGAGATCCCCCCGATAAGTCCTCACCACGATGATGGCTGCGTAGGCGCCTTTGGACTCGGTCCTGCGCAAGGCCGAACTCTATGTCGAACTACGGAGCAGCGATGATGATGCCGTCAACCGTAGTCGGAGCCGAAGTCGGTGAAACTGGCACATTAGCTTTGAGTGTTCCACTCGGGTGGTGTGATGTGCTCACAAAGACAGCCAGACCTATCGCACACGTACCGAAGCACGGCACTAGCCCACGGAGGAGTCTTGCAATCATGCCCGACGCAAAGTTGCGGCCAGCGTCTGTGGGGTTGCGATGGGTCTAGGAACGTCGTGGCGCTTCTGTGGGCGAGCCGCTCCTCATCGCAGTAACGCCTCCTGCTGTTTCCCTCACATCCGGACCAGATGTCCAGGGCGAAATGCCGGTTGGCTTGCAGAACAACCACGATCACAGGCTACTCAAAGGATGGAGGTAGTACCGATGCGGAAGTGATGCGGAAGTGAAAGTAAGTGCGAATGTGCGTCCACACCGCACTACGCGCACGTCCCGTGGATTGCGAGCTGGGACCGCTCCCAGCTTCGCTACCAACTGGAATTTCGGGGCCTGGTAGCTGCACGACAGAAAGCGTGGCGGTAGGAAAATGGCGATTGCACTCTCAACCTTCCGTACAATACACAAGTGTGCACTGGCGCTTAGGCCAAATAGCGGCGGCCCCTCCTATGTAAGTGAGGAGGAGGAAAGAGGAGGGAGGAGAGAGGAGCGCGGAGGAGGAGGAGGAGGAGGAGGAAGAGCAGCAGGAGAAGGCGGAAGAGGAGGAGAAGGAGGAGGACCACATCTTCTGCGTCCGCCGCTGCCCGCATGGGGCCGAAGACTGGGTCGCCGAACAACCCTCTGGTGCAGCCCTCCGCTCAGCCGGGCGCTCCTTGCCTCCACAGACCGGCACGACGGCGTCGGGCCGCACCACGACACCAGCGACCGCGCGACCGCACCCGCTTCGGAACGGGCCCCCAGTTTTGAGGACCACGACCGTTCTGCAACGCCGCAACCCCACCAGCAACATGCACATCGAGGATGAGTCGCCGAAGTGCGCCAGCCAGTGGGTGGTTCCGGGAGTGGGAGCGGGAAGGATCGGAGAGAGGAATGGGGACGGGGGAGAGCGGACAAGAAGGTGGCATGCGCGAGGCGAACCATGCGGTGGAGTGGCGAGCCAGGGGACGAGCCCCCCTGTCGGGGCCGCGCGAGCGAGTCACGAGGAGCATTCCGCCGTGCAGCCCGTGCATCGGATAGTGGTTCTTGCTACATGTTATCTAGGAACTCATCTGTCGTCCGTACTTGGCCCTCCTGACTTCCCCAAGACTCAGGCAGGCCCCCACGCCCCTCGGGGAATGAGATTTCCGCGGGGGGCCTGCTGGCAAGACCCCTCCTTTCCCGAGGAGCCTACTCACTGGCAGTCGCCTCCACGCTCGCCGCGACCTTCGTTGGGAACTCTCCGAGGCCGTCATCAACGTTGTCATCGTCGTCGTCTTACCATCATCGTCATCATCACCACCACCATCATCATCCACCACAACCACCACCACCACCACCACCACCACCACCACCATCATCATCATCATCATCATCATCATCATCATCATCATCATCATCATCATCATCATCATCATCATCAGCAGCAGCGTCATCAGCATCATCATCATCATCCTCATCATCATCATCATCATCATCAGCAGCAGCATCATCATCATCCGCAGCAGCAGCATCATCATCAGCAGCAGCAACAGCTTCTTCTTCATCATGATCAGCATCATCATCATCATCATCATCATCATCATCATCATCATCATCATCATCATCATCATCGTCAGCATCATTACCATTACCATTATCATCATCATCGTCAGCATCATTACCATTACCATTACCATTACCATTACCATTACCATTACTATTACCGTTACCATTACCATTACCATTATCATTATCATTAACATCATCACCATCGTCATCAGCATCTTCAGCATCATCATCATCACCATGAAACACATCATGATCGTCGTCGTGATCAGTATCGTCATCATGATAATCAGCATCATCGTGTTCACCTGTAGAATCATGATTATCAGCATTGTGATGATCCTTATCATCAGAGTCGGCGCGCTGGTCGTGCGACACCGCGCGACATCGTCTCACCTTGAAGGATCGCCGCTCTCGGGGGAGGAGGAAGAAAAGGAGGATGAGGAGTACGACGACGAGGACGACAAGGACGACCTGGAGCAGGAGGACGGCAGAGTGGAAGACGAGGAGGGCAAGGGGTACGCGGGAGGAGAAGGGCGTTGGAGAAGTGGGGGTCCATGAGACCTGTCGGGGCTACCCTGGGGGGTGGGGGGGTGGGGGGCCGCCCTCTGGGGGGAGGGCGCCCTTCCTTACCACCCGCCCGACGCACCGATGGTCGCCGCCACGTCGGCAAGGATGAATTGACCGCCGCTGCTCGAGACCCCGGGACGTCCATCGGCTTCTGGTGTGGCAGCGCCACGCTCTCCACGGCAAAACCATCGGAGCCCGAGAAACCCCGGGGCACCCTGGAGGCAAGCAAGGATGGTTTCCTGGCAGGGGTCCCTACTGCAGCACAGATGGTTCGACGTCACCCGGTCCTGGGCAGGGCTTCCGGCATTCCACCCTGCACGCCCAGGCTGGGGGGATCGCCGCCGCGCCGACGCGGCGCACACAGACCCCGACCGCACGACGAGGAGGGGCCGCCCCGGCGGAAGGCTCGCCGCGGCGGCCGCGGCCGCGCCGCCGTGCACCCCCAGCTTGGCGAGCCGCGCCAGGGCGTCCAGCTTCCGCGACTGGTCGCTGCTGGGAGGGGGGCCTCCTTTTTGGCTCGCCGCTGGGACGGACTGCATCACCGTCCTGCGCCGTGCCGCCCTCTATCGCTATGTCTCTCGCGCCAGCCCTGTCTCTTTTCTCTCTCTCCCTCTCTCTATCTCTCTCTCTCTCTCTCTCTCTCTATATCCCTCTCCCTCCCTATATCACTATATTTCTATATATCTTTACTTATCTCCATGCTTCCTTTCGATATCCCCCGCACTCTCTCTCTCTCTCTCTCTCTCTCTCTTCCTCTCTCCCTGCGTCGTTCTCTCCTCACCATACTCTGCCATCAGCCCCTTCCTCTATATATACATATACAGATGTATGCGTATCGAGTGTATCCTCTCCTTACGCACCAAATATCTTATTCACCAATATGCAACCAAAAGCCAGATTGGCTCAGCGAGCAGAAGAAGAAGGAGCAAGAAAAAGAGCACGAGGAGAGCAAAACAGCACCCAGCGCCAGCAACTCTAAACGAAGTGGCAAATTCGAATGATAGGACTACAGGTGTCGATGTTGGTGCCCCCATGTAGAGCATGTCGAAAAATGAGATGTGAAAGGAAGGTCCTCCTCAGCTGCCCGCATACAGAACCCATCGATACAATCATCGTCAGGGACAGTGATGACTGAGCACCGTACACGTTGCAGAGGCCCGCAATGGTGTCAGAATCTGCAGGGACAGTCAAACAGAACTCATGACAGCACGGCAGAGTCGCAGGGCGAAAATACGCAGCATGGTCACTCACACAAACAACTGAACATGTGTCACAATGTAGATTACAAAATGAGGCAGCCCGATTTCCAAAAGGCCGAGAACAGCATGGATAGGAAGAGCCAACAAGTAAGAAGCCAAGAATGATGCAACTGCCGCAACATTTCTCAGCTAATGAGTCCTCACTGGAGATAGGCTCAAAATCACATGTCTCGGAAGAAGACAACGCAATGTGTTATGACGCGCGGAGAAGGCAGCCTTCCACAACATTGCTCAGCAGGCTCAGCGTCTGAAAAATACGAGGGACCTCCCCACCTTCTTATGGAGCGCTGGAAGGACTGCAATAACCATATTGAATTCCCCATTGTCCTGTCCAAGTCTCGTCTTCATCGCCATCACCATCATAATCACCCACTCCTCCTGTTTGGTCACCGTGCCTCTGACGTTATGACGATACTTGCCGCCCTCGCTCTCTGACATTTTCGCGAAAGGCGAACGATGGCTGCAATGTGTCTGGACATTGCTCGGGTAATCGTTAACACGTTGGGAAAAATATATCTGTGAGTGTACAAACATTTTGTTGATGGAAAATACGCACGTGCACGCACGCATGTTTGCCATGTTCGCCAACGTTCTAGGGCAGATTGAAAAATGCCCCGCAAATAAACAATGGCAACTGCTGAGATTCAGAAGAAAGTCTAGTATTATCCTAACGGCGTTCGCACTTAAAAAACGACATCGGCGGCGGTCTGGCGGTTCCGTGCTCGCCGTGGCCACCCCGTCGCCACCCCGTCGCCGCCTCGTCGCCGCTCGTCGCTTGGGCCTGGGCGGCGGTCTGGCGGCTCTGTGCTCGCCGTCGCCGCTTCGTCGCCGCCTCGTCGCCGCTCGTCGCTGGGACCTGGCTGGCGATCTGCCGGCTCCGAGCTCACCGTCGCCACCCCGTGGCCGCTTCGTCGCCGCCCGTCGTGTTGGCCTGGGGGGGGTCCCGGCGGCTATCTGGTCGCCTTCCGTCGAGCCCAAGATTGCACAACTTTGATTGCACCATGTTGGTTGCACCACAACTAGTGCAGCACATGGATCGCACCACATAGGTTGAACAGCAAATGTGGCTCCACCATGCGTGCACAACATAAGTTGCAAAACATGGCGTGTATGTATATATATATATATATATATATCCCCCTTTCCGGTAATCATATAGACTGTACCGCACGCGCGCGCATCGTCGCGCGTGCATACCAAAATCCGTCATAAACCTTTGGCTTCTCAGGGATCTCAAAATCGAGCGTCCCGAAAACATTTAAAACACATTGAATTGCAACATCAATGTTCAAACAAGCCTGCGCTCGCGGTCCTGCGCATTCCGGTCAAATATAAAACGCTAGTTGTTGCTTTACCTGTTCAGTAAATTCGGCCAAACGGGACTCTCGCGCCGCACGTCGACATCATTCGAACGCCCTTGCGCTCGTGCCCGGGGGGCACGATCCGTGTCAAATTATACGATGCGGGCCACTCTCGAGCGTAGGCCGCGCGCACATGTCGAACTCCCTCCAAAACCTGCACCACCGACGCGAGGACGCCGTCATCGTCGTCGGCGTGATCAGCATCGCCGCCATCACGGGCCTTGTTGTCGTCGTTGTCATCATCGTCACAAGCGTCGCTACCATCATGATCGTGTCCGCCGTTGTCGGTCGACGTTGCCATGATACCGCGCGACAAGGAAGACTTTCCCTCATGAAAGACTGGGTGCAAGCCCCTGGAAGGGCACTTCTATTGAAAAAACACGATGTGCCCCAGAGGGGGGATCAACCATATCTATTCTGCAGTAGTGAGAATTCAACACCAACAACAACAACAACAGCAGCAACAACAACAACAACAACAACAACAACAACAACAACAACAATCATTTTACCCGAACGCTCAGTGTTCTCCCCAGTGCCAGGGTTTTCTTGCGACACCAGCCAATACCCCCACTTCGTGGGGGGGCCGTTCAAGCTCTACCAAATATCCAAACGACTCTTCGAGACCACCCACACCCAGCTTCCCGCCCTATGACGTTGGGACACTTCACTTCGTGGCGTGCGGACGACCCTGGCTACTACACTGGCGTGGGGTACACACCCACAGAGGTTGAAAGCGGTATTATACTCAATGCCCAGGTGGCGGATGGCAGAGCCGTGCTGCTCCTCCAGCTCCTTGGCGCTAGAAATACTGACCGTGCCAGTCACAACCCGATACTTGGCCCACCAAGTCTTGCACGCCTGGTGACTAGCATTGATACCCTTTGCCCGGAGCGCCTGATGCAAATAATACGCACTCTCGCAGTCGGCCAAGGGAGGCCGCGACAGCTCAGGGCCATACTGCTCGTGAAGGTCTTTCGCCGTCAAAGCCATGATCCAAGAACACAGGCGATACCTTGATCCGAGATGGCTACGGATATGTGCGTCAGCAGTCGGGGGCCTTCCTGGGGCCGCTTGGGGTCCTCTTGGGGAAGGGGGGAAGCCTCCTGGCGCGGTTTGGGGTCCACTTGAGAGCCTTTGGGGGGCTCCTTGGAACCATCTTGGGGCCTCTTGGGGGCTTATTGGACCCTCACGGCGGACTCTTGGGGCCTCTAGAACGCCTCCTGGGGCCATCTTGGGGGTCTCTTGGAGCCACCTTGGAGCCTCTCTGGAACCTCTTGGGGGCCTCTTGGAGTCCTCTTGAAGCCTCTTGGGACCATCTTGGGCGCCTCTTTGGGCCTCATGGACGCCTCTTGGGGCCATCTTGCGCGCCTGTTGGGGCCATCTTGGGTTTTAAAGATTCATCAAGAGACCGCGAATGGATTTCGAGATTTTTCGGATGAGAAAGTAGTGCGTTTTCATATGTTTTCTGAACATCGCATCTTGAAATTATTGAAAACCCATTGTGTTTGGCAGGATTTCGACATGCGCGCGCGGCGGCCGCGCGCATGTGCACTTCGTCTCATTTTTTGCAAGGGATGGTGGCCCTCGCAGGCGCGCAACCGTTGTTGGAGAAGTTCAAAGCACCTGAAGAAGTAGCACGCAAAGACCCTTTTGACAGAAATGTTTAAAAAGTGGTGTGTTTCCTATGAATCCGCAAGAGCGCGCGGAAGGACATTTTGACAATTTTTTCTTAAAAAACCATTGGGTTTTTGATGTTTTTATGTTAAAATCGTTACGAAACCTAAGGTTTTGGAAGGATTTCGTCTTGCGAGCGCGAATGTCCACTTTACCTTATTTTTTGCAAGGGATTCTTGAAATTTGATCAACTAAGAACAAGAATTTTCATTTTCTATTGTTTTTTGCAAGGGAAAACGAGCGTCAACAAAAAACCGGATCCGGGGGTAATCCACTTTTCTGAAGCTTTCGCAGAAAAATGATGAAAATGTAGCTGCGGCCTAGGTTTTGGGCGGGGGGCGTGCACCAGGGGGTCCAACAATAATAATTCTTTAGAAGTAATAGTGTTCAACAACAACAACAACAACAACAACAACAACAACAACAACAACAACAACAACAACAATCATTTTACCCGAACGCTCAGTGTTCTCACCAGTGCCAGGGTTTTCATGCGACGCGAGACAATACCCCCACTTCGTGGGGGGGCAGTTCAAGCTCTACCAAATATCCAAACGACTCTTCGCGACCACCCAAACCCAGCTTCCCGCCCTATGACGTTGGGACACTTCACTTCGTGGCGTGCGGACGACCGTGGCTACTACACTGGCGTGGGGTACACACCCACAGAACTTGGTCACTTATTCGGGGCGCGCGTGTGCCCAGCATCCTGCAATTGTGACATACAATACATGACACAGACAGACAGAGAGAGAGACAGAGAGCAGACAGAGAGAGAGACAGAGAGAGCGGAGTTGGTCACATTTTTGGGGCAAGTTCCTGAGATCGTCGTGTTTTTTGTTGGTCTTGCGCGCGCGAATGTCCACTTTACTTTTTTTTGCAAGGGAGTATTGAAATTTGATTATGTTAGAACAAGAAAAAGTAGCTCGCGCGAGCTCATGTAACATAAATGTTGAAAAACCATTGGTTTTGTGGGAGTCGGACAGCGCGCGCGGGATGAAATTTGGACATTTTTTTTTGAAAAACCATTGGGTTTTTGATGTTTTTATGTTGAAATCGTTACGAAACCTAAGGTTCTGGAAGGATTTCGTCTTGCGCGCGCGAATGTCCACTTTACCTTATTTTTTGCAAGGGATTATTGAAATTTGATTATGTTAGAACAAGAAAAAGTAGCTCGCGCGAGCTCATGTAACATAAATGTTGAAAAACCATTGGTTTTGTGGGATTCGGACAGCGCGCGCGGAAGGACATTTTGACAATTTTTTCTTAAAAAACCATTGGGTTTTTGATGTTTTTATGTTAAAATCGCTACGAAACCTAAGGTTTTGGAAGGATTTCGTCTTGCGCGCACGAATGTCCACTTTACCTTATTTTTTGCAAGGGATTCTTGCAATTTGATCAAGTAAGAACAAGAATTTTCATTTTCTATTGTTTTTTGCAAGGGAAAACGAGCGTCAACAAAAAACCGGATCCGGAGCTCATCCACTTTTCTGAAGCTTTCGCGAAAAAATGATGAAAATGTAGCTGCGGCCTAGGCGCGGCGCAGAGGTCGCGCACCAGGGGTCCCAACAATAATAATTCTTTAGAAGGAATAATGTTCAACAACAACAACAACAACAACAACAACAACAACAACAACAACAACAACAACAACAACAACAACAACAACAACAACAATCATTTTAAGACTGTTCGCCCTTATCTGCTCGAGTGTCCAGTAACGCCTATTTCCCAAACCCTCGATACCCGCCCTCTTCATCTTCGATCGAACCCCTTTTGGGGGGTATACCTTTCTTCCCTGCAGGCCGGGCCCCAGCAAGCGGCTGGGCGGCCGCAGACCGTCGGCCTGGCCAGCGGCAGCGCTGATCGGCGGGGGGCGGGGCAGCCGCGGAATGTCGACCCGACCCCAAGAGGGACGGACAGGTGACCGACCACGACGACGACGACGACGACGACGACGACGACGACGACGACGACGAAGACGACGACGACGACGTCGACGACGACGGCGACGACCACGACGACGGCGACGACGACGACGAGCGAAAGCGAGAGCGAAAGAGAACGACAGCAGGGCCACAAGGACACGAAGTAGGCCACGAAGGGCAAAAGCGGGGACACGAAGGGAATGCGTATGGGGCCACGAAAAGCGCGAACGAGCGGGGGGCCACGAAGGGCAGTTAATGCGGGGCCACAGAAGGCAACGATGGGGCCACTGAGGGTAGCA